GAACCTTATTAATCCCTGTCATAACTGCCAGTGAACACATAAAGGAGCTTCAGAGGTTGCTTTGCCTTTTTATGTCCTTCACTAACATGAACTGCTGCTGCCTGTGCAACCTCTCCCTGCCTTGCACTCTCAGAAGTAAGAGGCTGATCCCAGGAAGCCAGTGATGCCCCAAAAAAATATTTTCATGAGTTCTTAAGAGTCAAGACCTAATAATCCAAGACAGGAGGACACATCTGGCAACCTGCTGACTGAATTTGGCTTGCAGGGCAGCTCCAGCTGGGCCACTGCCTTTCCCTGTGCCAGCGGGAGACTCTCCTTTGCTTTGCTTGCAGGGAGTCAGGAGTTTTGGCACATGAGTCCTTCTTGTTCCTCTGCTCCTCCTGTCTATCATGAAGGAGGTCCCACTGAAGCAATGAGATAGCTCTTTTCCATGCCCTGAAGTCAGTCAAAATAATTCCTAGTGAGTCATGACCCCAGTTAAACTGTGTTCATGTCCTGGAGCGAGAGGGAACTTGTATGTTCTTTGTAGCAATGGCCTGCGCAGGGTTTGATTCATGCTTTTGGCTTCATGCTTTTTTTGTAGGAGAAGAAAAGGGCATTGATGATGCACAAATAATTGAGTACTCCTGCGGCTGTGCTCTGTACTTATTGAGCAAACACGTCACAGGCAGCAACTGGGAGATCACAAGCAGTGTGAACTGGAAAGCAAAACTAAGTATCTGTACCCTCACCACTGAAACTGCATGGAAAACCTGGGAGAGGATTACAAATGTTTATCATGTGGCTAATGAGGTCCAGAACATTCTGTCACAGTTCCTAAGAAAGACGAAAGCATCTTTAAAATAAAGCTTCAGATGAGATGTTACATTTATACTGTAAATAAATTTCTAAGTTGTCAAGAGCTAAGTTGTTGGCAAACAGAGCTGCAGCTTTTGTTTAAAAACCCGGTAGTCCTTAAGGAGAAGTGGACTTGAGTCAACAGAGCCCTAGGAGACTGGACAGACTCCTGCAGTGAGCAGTGAAGAAAACAGGGATGTCTGCACCACATTTTGATGGGCATTTTTATCCATGCTTACAACTACACTTGTTGGCTGCCCACCATCTTCAGGCACACGGAGAGGTGCACTCCATGGCACAAGATGAGGCTGTTCAGGGTCAGGCAGCTGGGCTGCGAGTGACTGTTCAGCCACACTGCTCTCATCCACCTCCAGCCCTCAACCCTCATTGGGCAGTGAGGGAGCTCAGATCTCCTCAGGTCCTTCTGGAGAAGGGATTTGGAAGAGGATGAGCCTGATAGTACACAGATATATAATAGAAAAAACTTTCAGTAAGAATAATCAAAATTTTATTTTTCCTACCTCCTCCCTGTGGATTGTAAGTTTTTTGCTATGTTACTGTTCAGCCCTTAGGACAGAGGCACCCACAGCACCATTGGAGATGTCTTCACACTTTTGTAAGAGAACTAAAAACAATAAATCAATAGAAATCTCACCACTGACTTCAGAGATCACTGGGTTGGGCTTTCTCTGTCAACAATGATTAGGGATCTGTGCTCCTCAGACATTCATGGCTGGTGCTATTCACACGAATTGGTTGCAACATCAACATAAAGTGGCACACATTGCTCTTCATCTTCCTATGAAATAATTGCTTGATAGCTTTACTTGATAGGAACTCCCTTGAGGAATAAAACAGTAAAGAGGTGGTGTCACAGTAATACTCTGCTGTTCTTTGATACTGCCCAGCTAATTAATGTCAAAGATGGAAGTACATACAAGTAGAAGTAATGTCAGCATAAAATGTTCAAGTGGAATTTGCAGTCATTAAATGCAGAAACTGGCTGCAGATCTTTATCTGCTTTAGCCTTTGTGCTAAACATACATGTGTATTAAATCAGTGTAATGAAAATCAGAGAAGGCTTTAAATGCTCACACAGCTTAGAGGAACTTCATGAATTCATGGAGAGGATAGTAGAGGAAGTGGTGGTGGACAAATTTGACTACTGTGCAGGAAGGGAGATAAAAGGAAGGACGGAAATAAAATGTGAATCAGGCAAATCAGATCACCAGAAAAAATAGAAATGAGCTCTGAAAGAGTTTCTGAGCAGTCTTTAAGAACCCTAACAATGTCTGATATGTTTCGGGAACAAGATAATGAGATCAGGGAGTCAGTGCTAGCCTGGTCCCTACAGAGGGTGGCATGCTTCTGATACACATACAAAGTCTTTTCTCCTAATACAGTAGCTCAGACTCCTGTCCCTTCGAATCTCCCAACCTAATCTGTATTATCCTGGGAACAGCTGCATAGGAAAACCCAGTTGCTTTCTTCAGTGTTACCTGTGATTCAGGGAGGGTGTCAGTACTAAATTGATAATAGGATACTTCTTTTTGGGTGAGTCCTTACTGAGGCTTTCCTGGGTAAGCGGTGATGGTCTGAACCTGATGACTCCTAGCTCAGCTCCATGGTGGGAACCTGTATTTGGCCTAAAAACTAAAATTGATTGGTTGACAATAGCCATGAAAGCCCTGATGCAAGACGCCACAGACACTTTCTCCATTCAACCACCTGCACAGGTAGAAATACTCTGTACACTGAGTTTGTTTCCACTGAAAGGTCATCTAAAAGAAATAAAAATGAATTGTCATCATTATGGACTGGATTTCTGCCAGTTATTTAGTAATTAGAGTTTTAATTGCCTAGTAATAAAAGTTTTAATTACTCAGCAATTAGTGCTTGAAGTTTCAAGTGTTTTGAGTGTACTCTGTTACATTCTTGAACTGCCAATAGCAAAAGATGGAATAGGTCCAGTGTGTCTCGGCAAAGCTCTGAGCAAGAGGGGCGAACGTCAGTGATGAAGTAGCAGTGGAACATGGTTATAGCCCCAGCTGTCAGTAGCCAGCCAGGCAAATGCTCTTGGCGAGCAGAACCTGCAGGCAGTTCGTGGACTTTCCCAAACTCAGCACCTGCTCAGCTGAGACACATGAGGTTCTCAGTAAAGGCATCATGTCAGTGAGAGACTACTGCAGAGACCGACTACTCTGAAAGATCCCTGTTCTTTTACTTGACGCATTCATTCCTTCAGGCTTTTAGTCACATACTTTGCAAGAACTATTTGATTACTTAAAAAGTTTTAATCTAAACTCCAATGGATCCAATAGGAAGCACATAGCACTGTAGGTGTCTTACTAAAATGCCTGAAACCCATCCCTGCAGGATGCATTTACAGATAGTAATATGTAGCTGCAGTATGTTTATTGCAATTCAAAAACTGCTTTACCTACACTGTATTCCCTGGCAAATTCAAAGCCAAAATACCCCTTGCTAGGTCAAGCATGAATTAATTTGTACCTAGTATTATCCCAATTAATTTTCCTTATGTTAGATAGTAACAATCCTAATTAACACAATCTCTAAGGGCCTGATTTCTTTCTCCTCACATCACTAGAACTTAAGTATCATTAACAAGTCAAACTTTAACAGAGTCAAGAGTTGGCAGTGGCCCAGGAAACAGGACTGCATTTAGGCTACATAGTTAAGAAGGAACTGCTTATGTCTGCTTGATAATCAAAGAGGGAAATCGTAGCCAGGGACTAATAATTATAGTTGCTCCAGCTTTTTGTGTGTGTGTGTGCATGCATGTGTGCGCACCCAGCAGAGAGAGCTTTAAATAGTGTTCAGGTTTTCTACAGGCAGCAAGCAAAATCCTCTGGCAAAAATAAAATTGATCTGGTAAAAATATCTTGTGGAAAAAAATCTGATAGAGAGAGAGTGGGATAAAATTTTTCAGAAATTCAAAGTAAGCTGTCTGCTCTATTATGTTACTTGTAATTATAGAACTCTAAAATATGAGTGGGGAATCATACCGTCTTTCAGACTTTTTTGTTTCTTTTTTTTAACTGGTTTCCAAATTGATAAACAACAGTTAAAGTCAAGAACTGAAATTTATGAAGAAATGCACCGATATTCACAGCTTCAAAAAAAACCTTCCTGTTCCCCAGTATTAGAAAAACAAACAAACAAACAACAAATCCAAACTATAGTTATCTAAACATTAACATGTAAATCATGTACACATAACATTGAACAAAACAGTTTTTCCCATCTACTCTGAAAGGAATTTACAGCTTTTAATAGTACTTAGTTACCTGGTTAATAAACTAGTTAGTAACTCAAAGCATTTAGGTGATCTGTGATGTAGCAGCAGCTGTTTCTTAAACTCCAGACTGTACAGGTCATTGATTCCAGAAATGCTCTACCTCACTGGGGTGCTGAAGTTCAGGGGCTGGACATGTTTTCTGTTTCACTTCTCTGAGGCATTATCTGCAGTACTCTTCACAGTAGTGAATAAATACTTGATCATAGCAGACTTTGTTGTTTCTAGCTATAACACTGTGAAGTATTACGGTCATAATCAATTAGGATTCAGCTCATCGGATGTAGCTATCTTGTTTAAGCTGGTAACAGGCTTAATGAATAGACATAAGCATCTCCAAAAGGTGAATCACTCCTTCCAGACATGAATGCTCAGGACAGAGGTGATCTACCCTTTGAAGGTGCTGTTTCTATCACCTGAGGAGAGATCAGCTTTCAGGCAGTTGGGTCCTAGAAGCGTGACAGCAGGAGAACGGCCTGAAGAATGAAGGTTTTGTTGAAGGTTGGTATTGATTTCTTCTTGCAGAGCCAGGAGAAGAACAGGTATTTCAAGCAATATTGCAGTTGCCATCACCGTGGCTGCACCTTAGATTCCCAGGCCTGGATTATAAACCGCTCCGTGCTAAACATTGCTTAGAAACAGGAAAAACAGCTAATGTCCAGGCTTAGTAGATTACAGACAAAGCAGTCCATGCCACCAAATTTATTTACAGTGAGAAGTCAGACTGTACTAACTGTAAGACTTTGCAACAGACCATTCTTTGGTTGAATTTGTTATTGAAAAATGCTTCCTCTTTTCAGTGTTTGCTACCCTATAGAACCTCTCCTTTCCCATTGTTATTTTCCAGCTATGCTTTTCCCAGCTGCTCAACGAGTCAAGAGGTCCTCAGCTGCCTTCCTGAACCCAGTGCTACAAAACTCGCTGGAAGATGTCGTCCTGCTTTATGAGGTTCAGTATATGGGAGCAGATAGTATCTCAAACCCTAAACAAGACTGGTTTTTCTGTCCATAGTGGGTTATTTATTTGCCTTCATGTCACTTTTACTTATCCCAGCAGTAAATCTCTTGCTGACTACATAATAGTTCGTGAGGAGGAAAGGGAATAGACACATATATGACAAACTTGGCTCTTTCAGCACTTAAGCAGGTAGCAGTTGCCTGCAGAAGCTCAAATGTGGTTCTAGCTCACTGACAGACAAAGTGAAAACCATTGCAGAGGGGTTTCCACTGAAAGCAACTTTCTTCCAGAAGAGCTCTGTATTAACAACACAATGCATTTTAATTCTTTGATCCAAGTCTCAGCCCCTGCTTGTTCAAATTGTCACAAACATGAGCATCAGTAATTGCAAAGTAATACCAAGGACATGACTGTTTCACTTCAGAATGACTCAGGTCTACTCTTTCACAGCAGTGGAGACTGCAGGTGTAATGCACAGTCTGGAACAGTGCCATATGATGAGCTGAGGTAAAGCGCTCCATCTGAAGAAGGTGCATAGGTCAAATTTATCTATTCCACACCTAGAGAAACTAGGATTTGATGTCCAAACAGGGGAGGTGGGCAGGGAAGCCATGTCTGTGATGCCTTACGCAGAGCTAGGCCACCACTGCTATCCCTGGCAGGGTAAATGTCCTTTCCCAGCTGTGCTGCTGTCTCCACTTCTCTAATCCGCATGTGGCACCAGCAACAATGCATGCCTGTTTTGGACAACAGAAGAGTACTTGCTTTTTTGTTTTCCTCTCTCCTTTCCCTGTAGCCTGGCTCTAATTTGCCCAGATAGGTAACACGGGAGTCTAACTTTCACTAGACTTTCTGGTCTACCCCACCTCCAGCCAGTACAATGAGAGTTTTGTCTCCTTTTGATCTAAAGTAAAGACCTAAGGACATGGTGTTAATTCAGAATTACTCTGCCTAGAGTCTCTTGGAAAAGATAAATAGCTTTCTGTGTTCTGATTTTGTACCAGTTTCTTTTAGCTGAGCTTGATATTGACAAAGGTCAGAGGATCTCCATCAAAGATGAGGAGCTTGCTTCACTGAGGAAGGCTGCTGAGTTTGACATCGTCTGCAACGAGATTATCCCCAAGAGCATCACAGAGATCCGCAGGCTAAGTAGCAGGCTGGCTTCCTACCCACGGATGCTCAAGAAAGAAGACTTTGAAAGGACAGTGCTTACCATGGTCTACACAGCCTACAGAGCTGCTCAGACCCAGGGGCACCAGAAAGACTCTTGGGCTGAATCCTTTGTCAGTCTCTACAAAGCCCTGAAGCACGACTTGATGTTCCCATACAACAAAGAGCCATCATAGTGGGAGACCTGATCCAGCTGCAACTCAGCCACCTCTTCTAGTTGATAAGGGACACGTATAGCTCATCCACCACTTTATTCTATAAAGAGTTTAATAGTCTGCTTCATGAAAGATTATTTGTTTTCTAGCTCCCTCTTGTGGAATCACTTTATAGTACCATGTTAAATGGGGAAAAATCACGTGCTGGGAATTCGATTTTTGTGCTGGCTTGGAGGCACATTCTATAATAGAAAAAAAAAAAAAAAAAAAGGAGTCTACCAGATAGACGTGCCTTTGTTTCATCCTGTGGCTATCCTATAAGCAATACATAAGTATACTGTGCTTATGCTCAAATACCTATGTGTATGTGCTGGAGAATGCTGCTTTCCTAGCCAGGGGAACAAATTTATATTTTGACTGGCCAGTAAATGAGTATTATAAAGAGATGCAAAGGCCCTCTGTGAAAGGAAGAAGTTTCATAACTGTCAGCCTTCAGAAATTATGCCACATACTGTTCATTCCAAATATTCTTGTAAATAAGCACTGTCTGATTCACTTCATTTGGTTGAGCCAGTTTTTAATCACAATAACATTTGCCAAAGACAAAGAGCATTGTGAACATCAACAGCAAACAATGCCTCTGAACATGTACCCTGCTTCCTAGAGCTGCCCTCCTAAGAAGTCTGCAACGATCCTTTTGTTATTTGCACATGACTCTGCTTCTCCTCCTTGTTTTTGGAAGGGAACGTTTTATCCTCAGCAGAGACAAAGGGAAGAAAAAGGCCTTGTTTAATTTAATGATGACATACTTTTTCTGGTTCTGTCTCTTGGACACAGGTCATCTAAACCCATGCTTCAGAATCCCCCTGAGGCAAGGGAGGAAGGTGCATTAAAACATACCTGGTGCTGAATTTAGCAGTGTGACTCATTTTTTATAGTAAATTATATATTTGTTTGTGTGTATGTGTGTGTATATCTATGCATGTGTTTGCACGTAAGTGTTGAGTACACAGAAGAATCCTAAACTGTTTGGTTAGGGAACAATTGCACCACTTAACAAAAAACACCATTCACCAATCCAGTGGTGGGAATTATGAATCTGGAAGCAGTGGAAAAGCAGTACTTGTTTACAACAAAAAAAGTTTGCAGAAATAGTGCAACTATTATAAACTGAAATAAAGTCATGGAGAGAGAATGGACAGAAAAAGGAGCTAGATCTTCTCAGGTAGATGATTAGCAATGAAAAATCCAAACTCTTCTAAAGCAAATACCTTAGTTTTTGTGAACAAGTTATATGAACAATGTTTCTCTATTGATTTTAGAGGTGCTCCTACTTCCAGAGCATGGGAAAACAGATGAACATTCTTTTCATCCTTTCCTACCAGAACTCTCTGTCTCTTTATTTGCATAATGTCTTAAGGATACAGGTCTAAATCACAAATCCCTGAGGCTGTAAAAGAGAACTGAGGATCCCAGTCCCAGTTCTGAATTACTTTTAGCTACTTCTCAATCACTTGAGCAAACGAAATGAACTCTTCAGTGTCCCTTAACAGGGGTACTCCAAGGGCTGAAACTGAAGAAAAGCCATCCAGCACCACCTTGTTGCAGCAAACAGCAAATAGTGCAAACAGACAGAGCCCACTGGGTTTAGGAGTCACCTGTGGGAATGTGGAAGCACAGTAGCCTTAGGGACAGGCTGGCAACAGCCAAAGCAGCTGCACAAAGGCTTGTAAAGACAGTCAGCCCTGTTTCTCCCAGCAGCCTCTGTATGGGCATGCATGAGTGTGGATGTTTGCCTTTAGACACGCACATATGTGTAGGTGCACTTTTATGTCTGAAGATCTGGGCTGGCCATCTTCAAAGCCTGGCTGGCATATAGCAAAGGAAACTGAAAACCTCAGCCACGAAGCTATGAGCCACAAGCATTTCCGTCTGCCCTACTTGCACGCACAGCAAGCCGTGTGCTGTGGTCCACGTGCCTCTTCAAGCCTTCAGTATTAACACTGATGATCTGGCTGAGTTTTCTTCCCACACCACGCGTCATAAACACATGGGCAGGAAATGCCATGAAGTGCACTCCTGCCTTTCCAGCTCTGCTTCTTGGCTCCCTGAAGCACCACTTGCCAGAACAGCCTGGAAACAGGGCAATTCATAAATGCCTTACAGACAGGGACTCCAAGGCTGCAAAGACAACAAGAAAAAGCACCACAGCAAGTGTTAATTGCTAGCAGTCACCATCCAGAGAATTACCTCCCAGTCACTCTCCTCACCCCACAACAGGACTGTCCAGCAGTCAGAGTTTACTCATCAGTAATTATCCCATAGAAAGACATTACAGCTAATTTTGAATATCAAATCATTCCTTATTGCACACATACCTTACTGTACCTTAAAAATTGGTAATTGAAACCTTTACCTCATCAACTGAAAATAAAGTTTTTCTGAGTTTGTTTCCCTCCTTCCATTACTATGTGTAGTGTGGGAAAAAGATTTATTCCTTAGGAATGTATTTGGACTGCCCAGGTTAATTTAACAGACACTATCAATCTAATAATAAAAATATTCTACGTAAAGCTGATGGATTTTGCATTGTATTGATTTCAGCAGCAGTTTTACTACTTAGCAACCTGCAGCTTGAGTAATTGGTTATTTAAGACTGCAAAACTCTTTGTGGGAATGACAGTACAGGGGAGAAGAGGGAGCAGCACTTCCCTCTGACGAGCAGAAGGAGGTGAGGGAGACACCCCTCTATTTCCAGAGGTCAAGTGGGAAAGAGGATTCTGCCTCAGGGCAGCTTCCTCCCTCAGCGTTGCTTAAGGTGCAGGTAGGGGTTGCCTGCTCACTGGCAACAATGGCATCACAGTTTGGATCTCAACCTTCAGACTGAGACATGTTTGCAGACAGTCCTCTCATGGGGCAAAGAGTGATTGCCTCTAAGTGGCTCCTTTTATCCAATCTTTGACCTTACAGACCATAAAAACATGAAATAAAGCGTAGTTTGGTTTTGGTTTGGGGTTTGTTTTGTTTTTTTTTTTTCATCTAAAATAAAATATTTTCAAGTTTTTGGAGCATTTTAGACTTTCTTTTAGTTTCTTTGAAACAACTGACAAAACAGATATAAAGTCTCTGACCATAATGTCCAACCCAAATTATTAACTTTAACTATATTTTTACTTCCAGAACTGTTAAATTTGCCTGAATGGTCTCAAGGTTCTGTTTTTTGATGGAAATTTCAAGGTATATAAACATTATACAGTTATGAAGGGTTAGGAATGGGCTGGCCACTAGACAAATGGCAGATGCTCTCTATTCATTCCCAAGGGGCAAGAAAAATGAAATAAGGTAGACGGACTTATGGATTGGAAAAGAAAACAAAACCAGCTTTAATAAATAATGAAAATAATGAGGCATATAGAAATATATACAAAACCAATATCGAACCGTTACTCCTCTACCCCCTTGCTCCCAATGGCAACAACGTCACCATCAACACTGATGCTGTGGAGCAGGCATTGGAGAGGTCCCAGACTGGACTCAGTAGCAGATGGGAACTGGATTCAGGAGCTGGATTCTCGAACTGGATTCAAGAATGCCTGGATTGGAGTTGAAAGGAGAACAGAGAGAATCTTCCTTAGATGCCAGCCATTGAAGAAGGATTTAACCCTCACAACCCCTCAGCTTTATACAGAATATGATGTATATGGAATGGAACATCTTTAGGGCCACTTGTCCTGTCTACTTCTCTCTGCAGGTGTGACCTTTTACTTTATGGCACTATGTCATGGTACACCAGATTTAGCCATGACCTTGGTCTCCACAGGAGCAAGTATAAGCAAAAGCCTTTCTGCACACCAATCCTTAGTAGTAACTATAAACACCAAGCGGTATTGCTTCTAGAAGCAGGCGCTGTCTGCAAAAATCTGCCATTCACTCCAGAAAGTGCCATTACTTAGAAGAGACTGAGCTGAAAAGTAGAATAATTGAACAGATTTAGTTCTGTTCTAACTCAAATCACATCAGCCTTAGGTACAATTACTAGTTTCAGGAATAATTCACCCTGCATATCAAACTTCTCTGCAGGCCTGCCTTTGCCAGTTCTCCAGGACTCAGTGTCACAAAGGCATCGCAGCTCAGCCTGGGGAGCTCAGTTTGTGTCTGACCAGCAGAGTATGGGGAGATAATAGGAAAACAAGGCTTGGGAGCATGGAAAATCCTAGGTGTAGGGTTTCCTATGAGATATAAGGCAAATGGATGTCCATCTACAGGTCGTGCATGTGATCAACCAATGGATACAGGCCTAAATCTCCAGTACTTTCTGCCCCACAAAACCAATTATTAACAGCAGAGTTATAGAAATGTTTCTCCACTGGAAGTCTAGAGTAGAAACCTTAAAAATTCTCAGTTTGAGTCTGAATCTTACGACTGGAGGACACATGGATTAGTACAGAGATCAGCCCATGCCTTATGAATAAGTGACATTCACAGATCAGGATGGAAGAAACATGAAAGACAAAGAGACTGTTTAGAGAACAATGATTATTTATTATCAGTACTGGTTCCTTGAAACAATAACAAACTGTTCAGCAAGTTTAAAAGGTCTTTTTGTGTATTTGTGTGTATGTCAGAAAGAGGAAGCTTCTGATTTTCTCAAATGTTCTGACTGGGTTTTGGATAATGGGTGGAGCAACTACTACTTTCCACAGTCCTCATTGGTGAGTTAGAGTGGCATGAAGCTTTTTAGCAACTTTTTATCTTGAGATCAACTATAATCTGTGTTAGAATTGCCGCCCTGTGAATTCCAAGCTCAGGGTGAAAGTAGGGTAAAGGTAGAAAGTAGAAGCTGAAATTACAGCAGAGACAAAACCTGCAGAAGCCACACATGGCTTAATTTTTTGTATTTTTTTTTTTTTTTAAGAAGGAATATCTGCTAGTTTATTTCTGTGTACTGAACAACAGATTCTTTGTTTCAATAATTTCATAACAGAAAAGAAACCTGTATCTGAGACATTCAAACTATCACAGAGACAGAAAAGAAGCAGCCTGAAATATACCTCACCTGGTTAATGAAAACAGGAATTTACATTGCTGGATGATGG